CCTGCTGTCCCTCCCTGCCCTTCCAGCCGCACCCTGGCTGTGGGATGAGCGCCGAGGGTCCCGTGGGAGCGCAGGAAGCGCAGATCCTTGGAAAGGCGGGCGAGGTGGAGCAGGGACGGGCTCACAGTGAGCGAACTTTGGTGCAGGATGTCGGGTGGGGTCGCTGGGAGGGAGCGGCTCCTCCTGCTCACGCTGCTCGGGGAAGGAGTGAAACCCACCACACTCACACCTTCCGTGCCTTGGATTCTGGGGGAGTTTCTTAAAAAAAGAGGTGAAAGCCTCTAAATGCGGCTCTGTGACAAAAAGGCGAGCCCTGAGGCGCTGCCCCCATCCCTGGCTTTGGATGCACTTCCTTTTCCCTCGCGTTCTCCTCCTTTTCCTGCTGTCCCTGTGTCCTTCCTCCCGAGGGGAGGCTGTGAGTAACCGAGAGTCAGCGTGACAAGGGCACTGAACCCCTGCGACAGAGCAGGGACAATCCCAGGGCAGTTCCCTACGCCTCTGCAGAGATCGCGCTGCTGGAATTTGCCGTTGATCTGAATTTACAAAACAATTTGATCTGGATAAAAAAAAAACAAAAGCTCAGATGCTGAACAGGTCCAGGTCAAGGTTGGGGGATGTTTGCAAATGTGCACAAGCACAAGGTTTTGTGCTTCCACAACCTTTAGGAAAAGTGTTTCTTTTAAGCTGTGAGAGTTTTGGACTTGAAAACTGCAAGTGCATCCTCCAAGAGCCGAGGTTGCTGTTTGGTGAGGGTGGAATGAAGCTCTGCAGTGTGCCAGAGCTGAACCAAAGGAGCTGAAGTGAAATGCCTGACCTGAAGGGATGCAGCCACTGCTGCAGTGAGTCCAGAGGAGGCACCAGGATGGAGCAGCTCTGCTGGGAGGAAAGACTGGAAAATGGGGATTGCTCAGCCTGGAGAAGCTTTGGGATGATCTCATCTGAAGGGGCTACAAGAAGGATGGAGGGGGGGACTATTGACAAGGGATGGAGGGACAGGACAAAGGGAATGGATCCCACTGCCAGAGGGCAGGGCTGGATGGATGGATGGATGCATGGATGGATGCATGGATGCATGGATGGGGTACTGGGAAGGAATTCCTGGCTGGGATGGAATTCCCAGAGCAGCTGTGGCTGCCCCTGGAGCCCTGGCAGTGCCCCAGGCCAGGTTGGACATTGGGGTTTGGAGCAGCCTAGGACAGTGGGAGCTGTCCCTGTCCATAGCAGGAGTGGGGCTGGATGGACTTTAATATCCTTTCCAACCCAAAGCATCCCATAATCCCATGATTCTGTATATTCTGGTTAATTAGAATGGGGTGCAGGGAGGTTTGATCCTTTCCAGTATTTTTCCCTCTCATCCCACATAATTTCCTCCAGCCCCAAGAGCACAGAGCTGGTGTCAGGTCCATGCCAGAGCCTCTCTCCTCTCCCCTCCTCTGTTCCCATTTAGGGACCAGGCCATTCTGGGAAGCTCCTCATGTGCTTTGCACCACACTTGTGTCACAGCTGACTTGGAGCCTTTGGAACTGGAAATGAGCCCTGGTTCAGGCAGTGGCTCTAAAAAGCATTCTGAGGTTTGCATTTTCTTCTTTTTTCATACATCAAGTGCTTGTTTAGAGGCCAATTATTCCTAATTTGTTTCATATTTGGAGGCAATTTCTATATCCCCTGTATGCACCAGAGCTCACTGGCTCACAGTCATTCCCAGCTGACTGTAATTTAATACAGTGAATTTGGACAAAATTCACTTCATTTGGTTGTGCAACTTTCCCAGTTTTAACTTCACCATCTTGCTCTAATTAAGAACAAGTTCTTTTACTTGATTTTAACTGATCTGGGATTTATTCTCAATAATTAATCCCAAGAATTTATTTTTAATTAATCTCCAAATATTTTGCTGGATAAATCAAGAATGGGTCACCTTGTAATGCATTGCTGGGCTGACCTTACCTATAGGAATAAAATATGGGTATTGATTTAGATTGGCTCATTTTTTCCAGGAAAATTTGAGTTTGAAAGCTTCTGATTACTTTTAAATGATGGATAGGATTTTTGTTTTTAAGGAAATATTTGTATTTTGTGTCAGCAGCAGTTCTGTCACTCCAGGACCTTACAAATTGTTTCTCTCCATTTTTCTCGTAGCTCCTGTTCTCAAAGGTCTTAATGAGGTCACCCCAGCACTTGACTTTTAAGGGACAACATTTAAGTCAGCCAGGAAGCTCTGACTTGGCCTTCTGGCCAAAACCAAGCTCATTGATTGATGCTGTTTCCATTATTTTGTGTATTTTTATGTTGGATTTAAAATCTGTGCCAAGCTCCTTTAGCATTGAAATGGCACCAGGAAGTGTCAGAGCTCTCCTAGCTGCAGTTCCCACTTCTCCAGTGAATTTTCCTGCAGCACTTCTGCTCCTGCTGCTTGGAGGCTCCTCCAGCCTGCAAAGTCACCTTTAATGCCCCATGTCATTGCATTTGGTGTTTTTACTGTATCAAATCAATTCTTTTGCAGTGTCAGGCATTCCCAGGCAGAAAAAAAAAAACCCTTGTGAACCCAGTGAAACAGAGAAACACAGAAACTCCCAAGCATGTGAGCATTCACAGGATCCTCTTTTATTGCACTTCCCCAAATGTTGTTTTGCAAGGAAATTGGAATAAATCTGCTATGATCTAATCGCAGGAAAGTGAAAGGACATGGATTATAAACAGGGAGTCAATCACTGCAGATGATCACCGTGACTCTGACGTTGGACAGAGACACTGAACGTTTGGCAAACTTCTTTTGGATCATTTCCTTTTCGTTCTGGAGCTGCTGTGGAACAGAGAAACCATTCCACACAAACAAATCCCTTCCATACCCGGTGAGATCCCAACACCCAGAGCCAGGAATAAACAAGGGCAGTAAATAATCCCTGTGAATTACCTGAAATCACCGTGCTGCCTTGAGAAACTCTACCAAATGCATGTGGGATCATGCTCGGGCCTGTTGAAAAACAAACAGTGATTAAAGCAGCCCTTTGGAGCTGAGCTGCTGAGGGCAATATTTGCTTTTTGGAATGCTTGATGGCTGTCACAGGAGAGCTCAGCTGGGATGTTTGGGTGTTGGACAGCTCTTGCAGCAGTTGTGCCTCTCCAGAGATGTTTGGGCAGATCCCTAAAAGATGGGAATGTGAAATGAAACCTCTGAGGCAAATCATGGATGTGAAGGCACAACCCCTCACCCCCACAAAACTTTAATTTGTTTGAGGCTAACATTTACTTACCTGATAGCAATAAAAATCCCCTTGTAATGGTGACTTCTTGACACTGATTCTGGAAAGATTCAGTGCATGTTCCTGGGAAATGAGGCTTGAAACAGCACAATAACTTGGGAGGTGTTTGGTTGCACAATGTTTGGAGAAGGCACAACATCAAATATTTGCACAGCAAGGGGGTGATGGCTCCCCACGTTGGAAAAAGGTGAGGACAGGAGAGGGTTTCTCACCAAAATTCCTCAGCATTGTCTCACAGCCACCCCTCTCTGCAAGGTGCCAGTGCCCCCTCAGAGGGGAAGCAATTTTCCATGTTCTGCTCCCTGGATCCCCCTCTCTGTCCCCTCCCTGTGTCCTTTTCCAGGAGCTGGGGATGCTGAGCTCTGAGGTTCCTTCCATCAAATCCCATGGGGACAGCTCTGCTCTGGGCACGCCTCAAAGGTGATCCAAACATCATTTATTTCATCATTTTTAACATCTCTTAGGCAAAACATAAAAATATTCTTCGTTGAGACCTTCCTGGAGTAGCTGGGGATTTTATTTAGAGTGGAAAACAGGTAGAATTTATTGTTAATTCTGTTCTATGAGGAATTTGTGTTGCAGGGAGATTAATTAACTTAAATGTGGCATTTTATTTTTCACATGAATTTTGTACTTAGATTTTTTTAAAGTTTTGCTCAGAGTTACCCACTTATAGCCTGTATTTATGTCAGTAGATACATAAATTACTCATGGAATTATTCACTGGACTCGATGATGTTGGAGATTTTTTTCCAGCTTTAATGATTCTGGGATTCTATTACCCAATTTTCAGCTCAGCCTGTAAAATGTGTGATGACAATTTGCAGGTTTTTAATTTTACTCCTCTGCAGGGTTTCCAGTAACCAGGTGATTGAAGCAGATTGAGCACCCTGACAGCAGGAAAGGCAGGTTGTTATTCAGGAACCCCTACAGTTATTTCTAAGAACAAATCAAAATCCACATTGTGTATTTCAAAGTTCATATTTGGTTCGTGTAGGCACCTTCTGGATCAATGAGGATTGCATTTTAATGTGAGTATTAGATGGAATTAAAACATCAGAGCAGCTATGTCCAGTTCTTTAGGTAATTCATGTATATAAAATCTCTTTTCTATACTGATAAATGGCTTGGTTTCTGTCATCTCTCATTGGTCAGTGAATTATCTCACAATAATCTCATTTTCTTGGTTGTGATCAGCAAGAACTCCCCCTTTGTTCTTTTCTGCATCGCTGTATGTTCCCAGAACTTGTGAGAAAATGATCTTTTTTTCCCCCTGGCTTAGTCACGGTGTTTGGACAAGCGTGGCCTCGTTTCCTCCTGAACTGTATCAGCACTGTGTTCATTTCTCCGTGCAGGACAGGGCAGCCCAACCCGAACGTTCGGATTTAAAAAAAAAAACAAAATCTGGTGAAACACCAACTTTTCCCAAGTTCGGTGTGGTGTTTATCCTGTGCCAGGGACAGCGCTGTGAGCTCAGCGTGCCTTTACATCCAGCCCAAAGGACCTGCAGCCATGTGGAACTCGAGGAGGAACCTGTGGAGAGCAGCAGAGGGGCACGGCCACCCCCACAGCTTGGATTCCACCTGGAGGGACCACAAGGTGAGAAAATTCCTCCACTTTCATCCCTGGGAAAGGACAGGGAGTTGTGGGATCTGGCACAGCTCCCCCAGCACATCAACAACCCCATCCCAGAGAGAGGCACCAGCATTCCCTGGGCTCCTGGAAAATGGGTCAGAGGTGCTGGCATGGACACCAATGTCCAGGTTTTTTGAGGGGTTTTTAGGAGAAACAGCAAATGAAAATGGGGAAGGTTTCATGTCTAAATGTCTATTTAGTGGTTAAATGGTGGTTCTGGCTTGGAAAATGAGCCTTTGGTACCTTCAGATGTTCACAGAATCATGGAATTCCAGACTGGATGGGTTGGAATGGATCTTAAATCTCTCATTCCATGGGCAGGGACACTTTCCACTGTCCCAGGCTGCTCCAGCCTGGCCTGGGACACTTCCAGGGGTCCAGGGACAGCCACAGCTGCTCTGGGAATTCCATCCCATCCATCCCCACCCTCCCAGGGAGGGATTTGGGTTACAAAATTTGAGTTTGGCTTAGAATATAAAACCATGTCCAGGATGAGTTTGTTAATTTTTTTTTTCCAAAGAAAAAAATGCCTTCAGAGTTGTGGAATTTTATTCTTCCAGGTATTGGTGTTATAGAATGTGCTGAACTATTTGTATGGATGAAATGAATGAAATTATCCCAGAGCAAATAATTTGCTGCCAGTTTCAAGCCTGGTGCTATCATTTTTTGTAAAGTATAGATCTTTTTAGATTGGTGATGTGGTCACAACACAGTGCCACATGTATATAAATTATAAATAAATGTATATATATAGTGAGATAGGTGTAACACATGATTGAAGTGATTTTGTGGCTGAATCCTGGAATCCCTGGTATCATCCACCTTTCCATCTGAAAGAATTTTTAATTGAGTATTTAATTGTCCAAACAAATACAGAAAGGGAAATTCTTCCATAAAGGAAAAAGGGAGAACTTTCCCTTTTTTTTCAGTGTAAGCCATTGCAGTTTCCCTGCAGAAAACTCCAACCTGTATTGACATTTTGGTTTCCTTTTCTTCCCTAATCCTGCCTGCCCTTGATCCCAGAGGAGAACAACGGCAGGAGAGTGAGTGCTGAGGGTATTTAAATCACAATGATGGGAAATGCTCCCATCACCACAGAGCTTTTCCTTCCCTGGGTAAATCCTCTGGCTGTGCTCCAGCCTCCATCCATGGGCCTGTTCCTGAGGGAATT